TCTTTATTAATTATATCATAGAATAATAACCAACTATTAGCATAATCAATCTGAGGAGAAAAAAAAAGGAAATTAATGACTAAAATATGATTTTTAAGAGATAGATATATTTTGTTTTGCTTACAGAAGTTAATTTAGGATCATGAAAATGAAGTGTTAGATAATATTCGAATAGGCCATCGTAGATTCGATCATAATTTCCTAAATTTGAGACTAAATCGAGTAGTTGTAAACGCCTAAGACAAAACAAAAAAGATTTTATAATAGGATTTCAAAGAAGAGAAAGAAATTTAATGTTAACTTATGATCTATAATGCGAAAGTCTTGTCACAAAATAGTCGCTCATTTTTCGGTCACTGGTTAGAGTTAAAAATAAACAGATTTTTGCTCTCTTGCTGAATATGTGTTCAGATTTTGCTTTGAGGATAGGTCTGAACAACTATCAGGAAATTTTATGAAAAAATCCAAAAGTATGTCTGTATAAAGCAAAATAGCGGTTTTGGCCTAGTCCATAGTTTGTATCTTGGAAAAGTTTCAACATAACATTACTGAATTCTGTACAAAATGAAATATTACAATAAGAAAAGGAGGAAACTATTAATACGAGTTGAGTATGGGTGTCACTGAAGACAAGACTCACTTACACCATATCGTAACATTACGAGCAGAAGAAATATGAATTTTTTAATCTGTTATGCTGTTCAAATACCTGTTCTCTAAGAAAGTGTCTGCTACAGAGTACATAGTAATCATGAGTAATTGACGTTTGGAGAGGTATTTTTATACATAGGTAGCGCCTAATTGAGACTAATTTAATAGCATCTGCAAAGCTTTACTCGAAAAATTAAAATTGTCTGAACACAGTGGAAGTTCTTGGATTTCTAATATGAGGAAGTCTTCTATTTCTGGTAGTGGTTCAGCTGTTTAATCTTATTTTATGTAGAAATTCTAAACACATATCTAGCAAGAATGAAAACGTCTGATTATTTCTGATTTTAATCAGTGGCCGAAAAATGAGTGAATATTTTGTGTTAAGAGTTTCGTATCATAGATTATTTCTGTTCAATCAAATAATTAGAATTAGATAAATTTTTATCTTATTCCATTTAGCATATAGAGAAGTATCGTTTTGATTGCATGTTGAACTAATTGAATCAACTGTTAATGCAAATCAAATATGAGAAGTATGTTGATTCATTTGAAAGTTTCATAACAATTTTTTAATCTTATCGTGCAACAAATTACTACTGATTCACAATAGAAAAGTTTAGTGAAAAGTTCTTTTCTTCTTATACCTTGCTAATGGTACTTTGCCTGAACGTTTAAGTGGATCATCTAATTGAAGTGTTAATTGTGTTCTATTTTAGTCAAAAAATATATTTATAATATTATTATTTTATTTTTTCTAAAAATAATAAAAACAAACTTTTTTGATGGTGGTATTTGTAAGATTTCAGTCCATATTTCAAATAAACTTTTTTGTGCATCTTTAACTCCAAGTACAGTTGTAGTTTCAATCATTTTTTTTGTTATTATTCGATCTTTTTGAGTAACAATAAACTAAATAGTTTTATATAAATTATATAAATTTAATTCAATTGATTTAAACATACTTGCATAAAATGAAGACATGATCGAATATCACATGCCGCTTTTACACATAAACTATTCAATGTAATTAAATCACTTTGAATATTTAATTGTTCAGAAATCTATATTAATAAAAAAACAAATAAAATTTGGTTTTTTGTTGATAATAAAAGAAAAAAATATATATTTAATTCTTACTGTTAATAAACGTTTAGCAAGTATAGTTTGTTCAATACGTGGAAAATTAAGTATAAGAGCTATTTGACGAAGAGGTTTTAAAGCTGGTACATATCTATTTATATTATTAAAAATTAATTGAGATTATAGAAATATTTACTAAATAACATACAAATCATTACAAATACAAATAACTGGTCGAAGAAGAATAAATGAATTATTTTTCTTTGTTTTACTACTTGCTTGTTGTTGATCAGCCGGTGTGCGAGTAATTAAATCAACAAGTAATTGTATCGATGGCTAAGAAATATACGATAAATAACTATAGTTTCATCAGATTTCAATGTACAAAGCTCAATGAACTGATAGTGATAGTAAAAAGCCTTTATTCCAAAAGATTATTCTTTGAAGAAACAAAGTATCTTAACTTTAAAAACTCTAGTAGTGACTTTCTGTAATTCGATAGAGCTTGTTTCTACGAAGATTAGTCTATTAGACTAAATATTTTATGGTTAACTTGTTGAATTCTATAAAAAAAGACAGGCAAATAACCCAAAACGGAAACTCTTACTTGAGAATAGGCATGTACTAAACTTGTTATGAACAGTAGCTTTTTTACTTCTGAGTTTCTTGAAATGTAGTACTGACTATCATGTCGATAAACAACACATTGGAGAGAAAACGTTAGAACGGATTGTATCCATTTCTTTGATCTATCCTCATTACTACAACTTAATAGAAAGAAGATCACTTTGCAAATATAAGACAAAAGATTTTTGTCTATATCTGAATGCTTTATAAGACATATAGTGACAAGCAAAAGAACAAAATAAGGAAACATCGGTAAAAATAAGGATATATCAATTGAAGCCAAATTGTTATGTTCATATCAGACCGAACACGGACTCTCAGATTTGGTATATGTCTACATAAGGGCAATCATTCTTAGGATATAATCATTTCCTAAGACTTTTCATTAAATTATTGAGTCATATCTAGGAAGCTGCGAGTCCAAGTCCACAAAAACATTGACTTATAGCTACCTTCTTCTTTGATCTTGTTTACATAAATATAACTAAAACTATTCCATACAACTGAAGATTTTAGTGTTATCGTTGATTTGACGATTTTCAATCGTGAATTTTGTTTATCAATGATAGACAAATCACCAACGAAAAATAACTGAACCTAGATTTCTTTTTTCTGAGAGTAGCCAATAAATAGCTAAAATGTACACAAAGGATGCCAGATATTGGTAGAAAAAAGTTCGGGTCTAGATTTGACCGGATTCGAGTCCACAAAAACGTGGTTCTCCAGCTTCCTATTCTCAATAACTATAATTTTGCTGAACTTTTCATCGAATTTATTTTCTCGGATAGAATTATCTTAAACATTATATAAAAAAACAAATAAATTACCGCTGGTGCTCCATCAATTTCATCAATTAGAAGACAATTTGGTTTATAATCTTTACTTAATACTTCTCTCATTTGTGTTGCTGTTTCAAGTCGTGTACGAAATAATTCTATACTTCGATCATCACTTTACAGAAAAAAAAAAGAAAAATCAATAATAAAAAACTAAATACAATAAAAAATTATAGTTGTTTACCTTGCATTCATTTCAATAACATTATATCCTGCATGTCGAGCAACAACATGTGCAAGAGTTGTTTTCTAATAGGCAAAAAAAATAAAATATATATCTATATATATAGAATGAAATAAATGACAAACTCCAGCTCCTGGTGAACCACAGAGTAAAGCAATTTTTTGTTGTGGTCGTTTATAAGCATCTAATTCAAATTGAATATCAGATGGATAAGTTTTTTTATTTATTATTCCTGTTAAATTATTTTTATCTTTATTTGATTCATTTGATGTTATTTGTTGATGACGTGTCAATATTGCCAAAGATTAAGCCATTCTAATAATGTTCGATTAATACCCTAAATAAATTAAATAAAAATTAAATATTCAATTAATAAAAAAAAGAACAATAGTTATTTGAACTAACTATATCACTAAGTAGATCACAAAAAGCACGTGGTGCAAATTTTTCAACCCATAATTCATCTGTATATTCATCAACAATTGATAAAGTTGATTCATCTCTTAAAATCAATATATAGAAATTTAATTTTTTATTTCAAAACAAAACTAAATTGTATTTTACTCATTTTCAATGATAACTGTTGATTGTTTATCTATTGATTTTGTAAGTTCTTCTAATTCCTAATTAAATTTAATTTTTCATTTATTTAATGAAAAATCGTTTTTTTTTTCACTTACTTGACGAACACGTTTTTCAATCATTTCATCAACTGATACTTTAAGTAGACTTGTTTTATTTCCATTATTTAATGAAAACTAATTTAAATTATTATTGTAAAAAAATAATAAAACAAACAATCTTATAATTATTACTTTGAAACAATCATCATCATCATCACGTACTAATAAATAATATCGTTCATTCAGATGACTTGTTAATACTACAAATGGTTGATTTGGTATTTGACAATGATAACGTGTTGCTAGAAAACAAGACAAAAAAAACCATTCTGAAACATTCGTTATTAAAATCATTTTCACTCTAAAAAAAGAAAGGCTTTCTCTGAAACCGATCAAAATTGATTTTCGGACTAATCTCTAAAATCTTTAAAAGGTTTTTTACAGGGAAAAAAAAGGGTTTTCGAGAAAACCTTTTTTTTTGTTAGAACGTACGTACAGATTATTTTTTGTTTCTTAACAGAATTTCTTTGTTTAATTTCTATAATTTCTGGATCTTTTTCAATTGAATCATCTTCATCAAATAATCTTTTTTTACAATCGACTAACGAAAAAAAAAAAAACAAGCAAACATTTATTTATTCGAATAAAATTCTTTATCATATACTTTGAATTGAAGATCCATTTGATGTAGTTCCAAACATCTAGAACAAAAACAACAATTCGTCATTAATCCATTATCTATGATGAATCAAAATGAAATTTGATATGACATTTATTTTTTTTAATTAACTATTCGAGATAAGAATATTCAATCGGTATAAATAACAACAATAGAAAAGTGATGTTTACATTCAAAACATTTACAATCGATACGATGAAACGAATTTTCAACATCATTCTATTACTTTTCATCATCTTTATTGATATATCGCTATGTGTCAAACGGCTTCGTAAACAATCAGTTACATCTCAAGAAGATGCATTATCTTGGCTTAATAAATATGGTTATAATCCATGTTTAAATTCAACTGTTCAATGTAGTTTAAGTCTTTCAAGTTTATTACGAGATTATCAAAAACGTTTTCATTTAAAAATAAGTGGAAAATTAGACGATTCAACTAAAGAACATATGAATCGACCACGTTGTGGAATTCCAGATAAATCAATAGCTGAAATTAATGCTGCACTTCTATCAAGTAAATGGTCACGTTCATCATTAACATATTCAATACGTGGTTATCCAACACAAATAAGTGAAACACAAACAACAAATATTATACGTGAAGCATTTCAAGCTTGGCTCGATCATGTTCCATTAAAAATTGAACCTGTTTGTTCAACATGTCAAGCAGATTTTGTTCTTGATTTTCTACGTGAACAACATACAGATCGGTATCCATTCGATGGAGTTGGTGGAACATTGGCACATGCATTTTTTCCTGAAGATGGTCGAATACATTTTGATAAAGATGAAGCATGGACAGAAAGGTTAGAATGATTTGATTTTTCGCGAGGTATCAACTATATGTTGAAACTTGATCTTCGACAAGATTCAGTCTTGAGATGCATTTCTTATTACTCAGCAATGTTATATTGATTCCTTCATTATATTATTGGAAAATATTATCAGTTAGAGATGTGTAGAGTAAAGTAGGGTAAGGGTAGAGGTTTACTAAGGTACGATAAACGCTTACCATGCATGTCTCTAACATGATACTAAAAGTGACTTGACACCTGAAGAAGTTTCCTTGTTAGTTAGGTGATAGACTACGGAAAAACCTTAGACTACACATTTCTACTATTAGTGTATTGTATATATTTTATATTTTCCAATACTCTATAGATTCAAAAACGTTATATAGATGCTTGTTATTATTTTAGTTATCCTATACTCTGATAAACGAAATATAACTAATTTCTATTCTTATAGTTTCAATGGTTACGATACAAATTTATATTTGGTAGCCGTTCATGAAATTGGTCATGCACTTGGCTTAGATCATAAATATGATGAGAAATCTATCATGTATCCATCTTATCAACTAATGTCAAAATCAAAAATTCTTCCACAAACTGATCGTGATGACATTCAAGCTCTATACAGTAAAACACAACCATATGGGACACCACCAACAACAAGATCAACAACAACAAGATCGACAACAACAACTACAACATCAACGAGAAAAAATTATATTACTACAAGAAGTCCTGTTACAAGTCCTTCTGGAAAATTACATACACGTTGTCGTCTCTTTCTTGATGCTGCTTTCAGTCATCCTGATGGTACATTCCATACATTCAATGCTGGTGTACTTTGGCGTTATTTACCCAATGAAAATACATGGGAAAATCAACCAACAATCGAAAAAACTTATCCAAAATTACCAAATAAACTAAGAGCAGGTGTATATAATAGTCGAAAACAAGAAATTATATTTTTTACAGATAAAAATGTTTATCGTTATGATGTTGATAATCGAGATCGTATCCAATATCGAAGTGAACAAAATCTTCCAAGAAATTTACAAAATTCAATTGTTGGTGCTATTTATTATCGTAGTGAAATTTATATAATTACATCAAAAACAATACGTTTATTTGAATTAGGTAATAGGTATCAACAATCTAATGATCAAGCTTTAAGTGAAGAATTTCCACGTTTTACTGGTACAGTTGAAACTGCATTTAGTTATGGAAATTTACATCATTTTTTTACAACTAAACGACGTGTTTTTGTTTGGAGTGAACGATTAAATTCATGGCAAACATTTGATGAACCTATGGAAACAAGTTGGTTTGCCTGTACAAGTACTAATACATACAATCCAAGATTTATTCCAGTAGAACAACCAGCTGAAACACCTCGTCATCGAAGTCCTTATGGTCATCGTCACCATGACCATCATCGTCACCGTCACCGTGACCACGATCATTATAATTAGCGCGATTATAAAAACCAGAAATTAAAAAAAAAAAGAAACACAATAGTGCATGATATTTTTTTTTCTATATATATATAAAATAAAGCTAACAAACCAATTCAGTTTAATGTTGACAATAGAACGCAAAAGAAAAATGATCAAGAAAAAAAAAATGTAATACCATTTTACAATGAGCTACAAAAAAAAATGAGGGTAATTATTTAAGTAAATCGGAATGATTCTTTTTTGTAACAAAAAAAAAAAAAAGAAAAAAGGGAGAATAATACCATATTTATTGCCACTATTGATTAGTTAGTGATGTCGATTCATATGAAGGAGCTATTGGTATAGATATATGTTCATTAGTTGAACCAAGTACTGGATCAGTTTCTTGTGGGCTAGTTAATATAATTGTTGGTGATGTTTCATTATTATTTCCTTGAGTATGAATACCAGGAACATCTTCATCTTCCTATTAAAACAAAAATTTTCTTGGGTTTGTTTTTTCATTTAATTTTTCAAAAGTTAGTAACTTACTTGAAATGGTGAAAATATATCTTCATCACGTTTATATTTACCACAACAATGATTGCAACAAAAATTACAACAACAACCACAACCACAGAGACAACAACAACAACCACCAAAACAACAACATGTACTAATACATAAAAATCCAAACAGAATTTTTTTCCATCTTGGCATTCGAGCTAATGTTTCGGAATATTCTAAAATAAATAATTTAATAAATGAAAATATAAATTTAAATTAAAAAATTCTTACCATCATTCATTCGACGCATTGCATCAGCAGCTAGAAAAAAAAACAGTAATATATCATTTTTGATTATTGATTAAGAAATTGAGTTCTTTAACATACGATATAGAAGTAATAGCATAAAATGTGTCGATCTGTATTTTTCTTCCCTTTCGAATCGTAAATAACTTATTTTTAAAACACATTTATAAACGGAATAGAAAAGAAAAGCGTCCTTACAAAGAATCGGTACTTTTCATGAGATTCAAAAACAACGACGCAAAATGTTGTTCTCTTTATCTTTTCGACAAACAGGTTTCAAAACGAATATTTGTTTATCAATTGATAGGAAATTTTTTCCTCTTTCGAACATTATGAACTCGTTAAAGAACATCGTATAAAACGGCAGTTAATTGTAATTTACTGTTGTCTACAAGAGATTTTTGAAGAAGAAAAATATGAATCATACACTTTTCGAATGAGAAGAAAATTTCCTATCAACTGATAAAAAAAATTTTTTTTTTTCAGAACCTATTTATCAAAGAGATATAAAGGTCAACATTTTGTGTGATCCTTTTATTGAAATGCACGGATTTTTTAGGGATACTTCTCTTTTCTCTTACGTCATTTCTTTTATCAACATGTTATAGAAATAAGTTATATACGATTCAAAAGAGGAGACAAAGCTCTATCTTTTAGTAAAAAAAAAAGTTTTCTTTCAGCATCCTTTCTGTCGAAGAGAAATAAGGATCGACATTTTGTGTTATTACTTTTGCATCATCTGTTATTTTACCACTGAAACATCTAATCAAAGCTATTCTGTTTGTATCTTGTCTAATAAGGAAAGACATTATATTTTCATTGAAATTACGATGACTTAATACTTGTTAAGCACTCAAATAGATTTTGAGTTGAGACTATGTGAATTATGTAGACCCGAATGAACTATGAATATCTTCAAAAAGATTTCGTAAATGAATGCTGTGGTAACACAAAAATTAATTTTTCAATTTCGATATGCAACTTTGCATAGAAACAGGTCTTAACGAGAATGTTTCATTGTGAAAGTTTCAGTTCTTTTGATTTGCTTCTATCCCGAAATAGGAACATCAAATCTGCCAGTTTATATAAGCGATAAGATCTGAAACTTTCACAATAAAACATTCTCTTTAAGAACTATCTCTATGTAAAATTTCAAGCCGAGATTCTAAAATTAGTTTTACTGGTACCATGACATTCATTTAAAAAATACCGTAAAAGTTCAATATCTTCGTAGCAATAAGCTAAAGACGTGAACTCTTTTTCAAGATATTTATAGTTCATTTGGCTCTACATAATGCACATTGTCTTGATTAAAAAGCAATTTATCAGTCGGTCGACTTCCCTCGTCAATGATTTTGAAACAGACTAGCAGTAGAAAGTTGATTAAATAAATAAACGAAAAATTAGAGTTCCAGAGAATTCAAGCTAAACCAAATTCGAAAATTTGCAATAATACTCTTTTCTTTAGATCTTTCAAAAAACTATCAAAATAAAACAATAAGATTAGTTTTTTACTCCAATTATTGTATCTAAAACAAAAATGAAGGATTTCTTCGTACCACGTGCTCCTAATTGATCATAAGTTGATCTTAATTTTGGATCAATAAGAACTTTATATGCTTTATCAACTGTTTGGAATTGAGTAGCTGCCTCTGGATCAGGATTTTTATCTGGATCTATAAATCAAACGTTTAAATAATTGTACATATATATTAATTAAACAAAAACAAACTAACGTAAACGTAAAGCTGCTTTTCTATAAGCACGTTTTATTTCTTCATCAGTTGCTTGTGGGGTTATTCCAAGTATATCATAATAATTTTGAGATGAAGTTCCTCTAGATCTTGCTGGATTTGATGATGATTCTGTATTAGAAGCCATTTATTAAAAATAATGATTTTTTATTTCTATAATAACTAACGACCACTTTAACAACATGAACAAAACATGTGTGGCCGATTATCTGAAAAAAAAACAATCTAGTTTACATATATAAAAATAAACAATATTAAGAGTCAAGATCAAGTTCAGTTTGATTAATTGTTTCAACATCAAAATTATTTGTTGGCATTGTACAAAAGCGTTTTCCATTATTTGTTAATAAATTTTGTTGATTGGAATTTATTGTTGAAATAGATATTGTTGAATGTGTACGTTTAGTTTGTTCATTTTTTAAAACTAAATTTCGTAGACATACTTCTTCAATTTTTAATCGACTTAATTGATCTATTACTGAACGACGTATAATTTGTAATCGTTCATTCCAATTGATTATTTCAGGTTTATTTATTGATGTAGTTACTAAAGTATTTGTTGGTTTATTAGCATAAAGTTTAATACATTCAAGAAATTCCATTAAATAAAAATAAATAATGTGTAAATTAAATTTATGTAATAACTATTCATACTTTTATTTTGTTTTTAGTCCATCTGATGATCATTCTTGCATATTGTCCAATCAGAAGAATTGTTGTTAAAATAAAAATTTAATCATAATTAAAGATTTCTTCTTTTAAATAGATTTTTGTTCTTTATTATTCTTATTTATTAATTTTAATTATAAAATTTACTAGCGCCATCTTCAAAATCGAATCGTTCCAGGAACTAAAACATTGTAAATCTTATCATGATTGCAACTTGATATTAATGATCATTTCATACGAGAAAACATATCCAACTGTTGGATGTCACTCAACTTCATATTATGACTATGTGTGTAGAGTCTTGTGAAATTAAGAAAAGTCTAAAACTAGAGTTTAGACAACTTTTGAGGTTTGTTTATAATGTCCAGATGATGTTTTGATGCAATTCATTTATTGTCTGGTCCCTGAAGGTGACCAAAGATGAATCTTTCGATGAAAAAAAGACGACTTCAAAAGTTCTTTAAATTACACACAGATTCATTCAGGTTTTATTTGTGTTGGTTCAAAATATTAGATTAGTTTTGATGCAAATTGAACCTTTTGTGGTTGAAATTTTCTAAATATGAATTAAAAAGACATAAAATTGCACCCGAAGAATAGTGTAGTAAGAAACTTTTCAAGTAGCGAGAATTTCTCGACTTTGGAAAATGTATGATTTTGCCACTATTGAAAAGTTCTATCGAACGAATAAGACGCGAAAAAACGTTCATTTCAATTTTGAAGACAAATGTTTCGAGAACAGTTTGTCTGGAGGTTGATTGTATAGCCAAACTTTTTCGACCTTGAGAAATATACGATTTTGTAGCTCTTGAAAAGTCCCATTGAATAGGTAAGACCGAAAAATATGTTCAGTCGAATGTTGAAAACTAAAATGCTTTGAAAAATGTATGTGTATTCGATGTGTCAGTGATAAATGTTTGAGATTTCGCTGCATGACGGAAGATCTCTTATATTCTGTAGTAACACATTGAATTTGGTATCAAAATGTCCGGTGGACCAATTTAAGATCTTTCATGCGTTACCGTCCTTTATTTGTTTCAAATAGACATTGATAGTCAACAATTCTTGATATTGTTTTGTCCTGTGATGATAAAGCATAGAACACAATGCTAAAAGTTAGAGAAACTGCACAAATCAATCAAACAATTATCAATAAATAAATATCGCAAGATATAGCAGTTTTCATGAAGACTGTTTAGTATGATGTAATAGCGAAAATGGTAATCTTAGACAATCAAATATGAAATTGATGATTATCACTTGTCTATTGACATTGTTAGACTTAACAAAAAAAATATGTGTTCTTCTTCAATTTTCCTATTATCAAATATAGATTTATATAAACAATCATTCTGCTTCTTTTTGTAATAAATTGCTCTGAGTTGGTGTTTGTTCAGATAAAAACATAAATCCTAATAAGAGATTTAATAAAAGCAGAGAAATAATTAATTCACATTTTGGATCATATGGAAAACTAATAGCGTCCTCTACAAACATGTTATATGGTTGCCTCCGATATTCTGACCAATATCAACATCAGAATAGTTCTAATTCGTTTTATAAAAGTTTTTTTTTATAAATTAATTTCTAGTAAAACAATGAGTAATAACACAAATTTTATTGACTTTCTTCATGATCATTATTCGAATGGAACTACTAATGATATATCTCAAACACTTGCTCGTCTTCAACAACATCTTGAACAACAACGAAAACTTGTTTTAAATGAAATAGCTACTGTAAAAAAAGAAGAAGAACAATTAAAAACTCTTGTAAAATCAACAACTGTTCAACAACAATTTTCTGATAATCAAAAACATGATTTATTAACATCACTTGATATTGAACAAATAAATAAATTACCTTTAGATCTCTAAAGAAAATTTCTTCTTCCTTTTTTTGTTTTTTGGTTGTTCATTTTCTTTTTCAGATGGTTCGAGAAAAAGAAAATTTCATTAAACAATCAACACATACATCATTTTATACAGGTGGTCAATTTGCTATATCAAATGATGGTCAATATTTATTATGTACTTATAATGCATTAATTCATATACTTGATATTCAAACACAACATATTATTCGTTCGATTGGTCAAGATGATACATCATCTGAAGTTGTATCATTTGCATTATTTAATGATTTAATTGTTATTGCCTATCGTAATCAATTATTACGTCAATTTAATTGGACAACAGGTACATGTCTTCGAACATGGAAATCAGTACATAAAAATACAATTATATGTATGACATTTAATTCGAATGGATCATTATTAGCTACAGGTGGTGCAGATTTTACAGTTAAAATTTGGGATGTTGAACATCTTTATTATACACATAATTTAAAAGGATCAACATCAATTATTCGGTAAGTTCAAAAATTAATAATAAAAAAATAAAATAAATATAAGAAAAATTATTTTTAGAGTTGTTTTATTTTATACATCGGAAATGAAAAAAATTCATGTTATCTGTGGTTCTGATGATGGACGAATCTATTTACATAATTTACATGTATCCGGTGCTAACCCAACAATTTTACAAGGTCATATGAGTACAGTCACTTCACTTGTTCTTCATAATGATCATACTTTAATCAGGTAATATTATATATATAATATAGACTGATCAGAAGATTTATAAACAGATTGATTTTTTTCGAGATCTGATCTATGTATTGTTTTTTGGTTGTAATATAAATTACTTTAAGATAATTAGATATCGAAGAATGACTTTACATTCAATAGGCAAATTCTAAACTACAGCATAGAAAATTGTATTTGTTTTTGCGTAAAAAGATATGTATAGAATTAAAAGAAAAATAAATAACAGTTTATCAATCTTCCTTGTCTATAATTAACTAGGCTTTTGAAATTGTTATCTGTATTTGGCTCTAGACTCACGGATGTGTGATATCCTTCTTCTACTTCTGAAATTCATCTACACAACATCCTTGCTTTTGAAAAACTGTTAATACAATCTCTGTCAGATTAAAATGTGAAATACGATGTAGCTGCTACTGCTGCTGTTCACAGGAAGATCGTTTTATTATATATATTCTGGGACAAATTTTTTCAAACATCTTTTTACTTAACTCTCTAGAAATGCAATAAAGAAGTAGTTCATATATTATTACAAGACTTTATTTATATATGGTCTGTGATCATATATCAACGTCTATGGGAGGAACACCAAAATTTTTATCCGTATATTTCAACGCTCCTTTTAGATCGTGTTTCATAAGATTGCCTACGCAGCAGCCCTTTTCTGGGATTCAATTACTCTGTGCTGAATTACGGCTCCGTTTAGACAGATGATTTGTTCGCTTGAAAAACAAACTGTATTTTTTTATTATTTTTGAAGTTCTGGCCGTGATCGTGTTGTTATTATATGGGATCTTCAAACTCAATCATCTATTCGTACTATACCTGTTATGGAGGTTTGTATAAATCATGATTTGTTATTTTTATTGATTTAAAAAAAAAACAAATCTCTCTTTCAGTCAATTGAAGCGCTTATTGCATTATCATCTGTTGATTATCTTAAAAAATTAAAAATTAAACAAACATTTGCGTCAGATGAACTATTATTTTTTACATTTGGTAATTCAGGTTTAATTAAATTATGGTCAGGAACAACGGGTCGTTGTTTATTAATTCAAGAAGATAAAACATATGAAAAAATTGCTGCTAATTCTTATGGTAAAGATAAAGAACATGAACAAGTTTTTCTTAATGCTTATTTTAATGAAACAACACGTATGTTTTATACGAATACAATTGATCATAATATAATTGCATTTAATATTAAAAAATTAAAATTAGAAAAACAAGTAAAATGAAAAAATTGTTCTTTTTTTTTTGCATAAATATTTCTTTGTTTTTTTAAAGTTTATTGGTGAATTAGGTGATGTTCTTGATGTTCGTTTTCTTAATGATAATGATAATAATCCTTTATATATTATTGTTGCTAATAATGATGAAAAAGTGAAAATATTTCATTTAAATACATGGCATTGTCAAATGCTTAAAGGTCATACTGATATTGTTATTGGTTTAGATATTAGTTATGATCATAGTTTAATTGCAACATGTTCAAAAGTTTGTTGAAATTTTTCATATTTTTTTTTTCTATTAAATTTCTTTATTTAGGATGATATTATACGAATTTGGTCATATAATGTTGATAGATCTTCATTTGTTTGTGTTGCTATTGCTGAAGGACATACGGGTGATGTTGCAGCAATTGCTTTTGCTAAGTTTGTAGATAAAATTTCAAAAATAATTTTGTTTGATTATTGAAAATTTCGTTTTATTTAGAACTTCAAATGATTTTATTGTATCAGGTAGTCAAGATACAACAGCTAAAGTATGGTCATTAGAAAATTTAATATTAGATAGTAATGAACCACAAAATCTTTCATCTGTATTTACATTAAAAACACATGATAAAGAAGTAAATAGTATAGCAGTTTCATTTAATGATAAACAATTTGCAACAGGATCAGCAGATAAAACAGCAAAAGTAAATATAATTTTCTTTTTTTGTTTTTGTTAGAAAATTTAATATTCGAATAATTTAGATTTGGGATATAAGAAATCAAAAATTATTAGCTGTTTTATCTGGTCATCGAAGAGGAATTTGGTGTGTACAATATTCACCTGTTAATCCAGTAGATAGTTTCTTGTTTCATTATAAAACAAAAGATACATATGAAGTCTTTTTTTTTTCTTAGGAATTAGCAACAGCTTCAGCTGATGGATTAATTAAAATATGGTCAACAAAAGATTATAATTGTTTACAAGTAAGATTTTATTAAATAAAGATAAAAGAAATTTTATTTTATTTTTTTAATATTTTAGACAATCGAAGGTCATGATGCATCAGTTCTTCGAATCATTTATTTATCAATGGGTACTCAATTAATTAGCAGGTAAAATTCTTTTTTTGTTTTTTGTAATTATCTAAATTTTAATATTTTATCTAATTTAGTGGTTCTGATGGTCTTTTAAAATTATGGGATCTTAAAACAAGTACTTGTGTAAAAAGTATCGATGCACATGAAGGCAAAATATGGGGAATGTCAGCTTCAACAGATGAAAATCTTCTTGTTACGTGTGCTAGTGATTCATCTGTTGTTATTTGGCGTGTAAGTTTTTCTATTAAACATGATTATATTACAAAAAAGAAATCAATTTCATAGTTTGAATGAATGTCAAACAAATTGATGTCAAATTCTATTTCCAACTAGACAAACTCTGAAATAATTCATACACATGGACCTGTCCTTTCTTGAGTCCGAGCCATTTTACTGTGTTTTTGACCTGAATTTTTGTCTTTAGAAAGGTTTAATACTGATTAGAATGCGTGAAAAATTTCTTAGGAAATGAGTGTTTAATTATTGAGATAATAGAGATTTTTTAAAAAGCATACATTTTACCGAAGAGCCGGGAAAACATCAGATTTTTCGAAAGTTCATCATCTTGGTAACAAAACATTCGTTTCCAATGCAATTTTTAGTGCATTCTAATTATGATCACACCTTTCTGTAGACGAAAATGCAGATTAAAAATATAGTAAAAGGGATCAAAATCGAGAATGAAGACTTATTGAGACGAATTATTCTACAATTTTTCTATTTTCAATAGGATCTAGATAATGAGTGACGTGTCACTTTAAAAATGATTTATTACTTCATGAGATTTCCTTATGAGTAGAACTCTTTGAAAACGAAGAAAATCCAAAAAACGATTCGTTCTTATGATCCTATTAATTTAAATATATTCGTTGTTTTTTGTTTTTGCTTTGGCCTCTATGTTTCAAAATATGAAGGTCATAATCTGTAATGTAAAGAAATGAGTTTTGTTTATTGAAATAATGTTGAAACTTATTTCAAAACAATGAAAGATCATCCGATGAATTTCAATTATTTGTAACAGTAAAGTCTAAAAGACAACAATAGATAAACATCATTAAAATCTTATCTCTCATTAAGATCATATTTCTTCTAGGATTCAACAGAAGAAGATCGACAAGCAAAACGTGAAAACGTCGAAGAAGTTTTACTTATGTAAGTTAATACTTACCTATATACAATGACACTTAAAATTGATCATAGACCAAACCCGATCGCTCTATTTTTCTCATATCTCACTATGCTTTCAACAATTTTCGTTAGAATCTAACCCTATTTTCATAGTTTATAAGCCTTATATATCTTGTATGTACTCTACCAGGCTGTAAATTTGCTGCTACCGTACCACGGACTTAGTCGTAACAACGCCACTATGGGTATCTCTGCTAGAAATACTAAAAACGATGTACTTTTATTTTGTTTAATATTTGATCATACAACACATGCAAAAATAGAACGATAAACTACAATAAAAAATTTCATATTGTATCCTTTTGACAGAGAACTTGTATTTTTTCTACAATGAGATCTTGACTAAAAACCAAGTAAAATTTCGTTAGACAATTTTTGCATGGTATGTATGATCAACATTAAGTGAAATCAAAGCACAAATAATTTTTAGTATTTTCTAGAAAATACACGGAATAGAGATCTCATAAATCATGAAAATAGGACTTCGTTTTTGTGAAAACTGCAATTCAATATATTGAAATCATATTGAGATATTATAAAAACAAAGCAATCGGTTGGATCTATAATCAATTTTGAGTGTTATTGTTCTTCGAATTATTTTTTTTAATGTATAGGGAACAAGAAGTATCTAATTTATTAGTAAATAAAAAATATCATGAAGCTTTAAAAATAGCTCTTAATCTTAATCAACCTTATCGAACATTAACAATAATCAAAGGTAAAAAATATTATTTTTTCATATTTTAATAAATATTTTCTTTTTATAGAAATTCTTAATGAAATTGATGGAATAGATCGTTTAAAAAATACTTTATTACAATTTTCTGATGATCATTTAAGTAAGTTATACAATTAATTATCTATTATTTTCTTATGATGATTTTCTAATAGATCTATTATTTTCATATGTAATTGATTGGAATACAAATACAAGACATTCAACTGAAGCTCAAATAATAATTAAAGTTCTATTAAGTATAATGACACCAGATAAAATTTTGAAACTTCCAAATGGACAAAAATGTGTTGAAAATTTATTACCTTATACTGGTACAAGTTTTTTTTTTCTATTGATTTAATTTATTATTTTTTATATTTTATTTTAGAACGACATATGTCACGTATCGAACGACTTTCACAACAAGTACTTTTTCTTGATTTTAGTTGGCATTCAATGAAATATCTTGATCAATCAAAGTAAATTTTATTGTATTTTTTTTTTTTTATCAATTCTTTGTTTGTTTTTGTTACTTTACTTTTTAGTATTTCATCTTCCAATGAACTTCCAACAACAACATAGTGAATGTTTTCTTTTTTTTTTTGGTTTTGTCTTTCGTAATTGCTATGCAATGATGTTTTTGGAATTTTTCATTGTTATCATTTACAAAAAAAAAAAACAATAAAAGAAGTTTTTTTTGTTGGAAGACAAAATTGTAAAAAATGATTGAATCCCCTGAGTCTCCAATAAAAATAAATCTGCAGATTGCGATGATGGAGCTACTTTTTATGTCAATGTAAAATATTTGACAAAGATAAAAAAAAAAAAAATAAAAGATCTAATGACATCTATACAATCTTATGTATTGACGCACTAAAAAAATAAACAAATTTGTTTATGTCTTTTTTTTTGAGATTTTTACCAACCGAAAGAAACTAAAGATGTTTTTTAGAAAATTTTTATAAATATTTCGATTAAAACTAGTATCACTCTTTTTAGATTTTTTTCTGAAATGGACCCGTGGCCAAAAGATGGAAATAACAGAAAACTAATTTCTGGTTCAGGATCATCACCGAATGATACGAATAACACGGAAAATATTCGTAAAATAAATTTTATAGAAACTTACAACACAAAATTCTTATATTTTCTTTGTAAATAGCTGTACCAGGGTTTTATAAACCAGAAAACTCAACTAGAAATAATCCGACGATGACACCGAATGATTCAACCCGTTCTGAACGTCCAGATGACAATCGTGGTAATTCTTAAATACTGCTATATTTTTATCATTGGATATAATAATATCATTCCACAGGTACTCCTGTTAGTTCAAAAAATCAGCCAACAACTGGTACCAATCCGAACACTGATGAAATGATAGGTAAACCTGTTCAATTCGGCAAAGACTTATGTATCATCAAAGGTTATGTTCAATGCCAAGGACAAGAGTTATTCGCACTTGAATCTGAAAGATCCATAACAGGCTATGATGGTAGATGTCCAAAATGTAACAAACAACATGTTGCACTAGACAAAACACGTGGCTTTTATGCTGCAGTAAATTCTGTCTACGACGCACTTGGACGACAAAAATTAGAAAAGGAACGTTTACAAGGTCGAAAAAAAATTGAACAATTACCCGGTACCGTTGAAAATCTACCTCCACTTGATCGTCCAATACTTGGTGAAAATAAAGGCATTGAAGGCGATTCAAATTCATGTTATATGGATGCAACAATTTTCTGTATGTTTGCTTATTGTAATGTATTTGATTCATTACTTCATATGACAATTGAAAAAAATTCTATAATAAAGTTACAACAGTTATTAAGAGAGAATATTGTGCATGTACTTCGACAAAAGAAAATTGGTTTCGTTGAACGCAAGTTTCGTTTGAAATTTTTTTGTTTTATTAAAATCAATTTCCTAAATAGGTGATGCTCTTTTTCATTTACGAGCTCAATTAAGTGAAGCAACTGGTGATCCATCATTTAAAGAAGTGGAAAAAGATCCAAGTGAATTTTTACGAGCACTTGAAGAACTTTTTCAATATGCACCATTAAAAACTATTTCACCTGATCAACTACCAAATACAACTGCATCGAATGTAACAACAAATATTATGTGTAAGTTTTTTTTTTCTTTCTTCCAGAAATTGTTTATTAAATTTTCTACAACTTACTAGGGGAAATGTTTGATGCTAATACACAAAATCTACTTTCAACAAAGATTGCTAGTATATTTCGTAATTCACTTTCTGAAATTCCAGTTAAATTAGCAACTATTCCACCTTTTCTTATTTTGGTTGCTCCACGTCATACACGTTCACAACGTTCTTATCGTTATATTATACCTGATCGTCAAATTACTCTTGACAATAATATTGTACAACTTGTTTGTCTCAAATGTGGAAAAACAAATCATGGTACAGATCAGCCACGTGATTTTTATTCATGTCATGAATGTTATTTAAAAGAATCATCATCATTAACTACTTCAACGACTGATGCTAAAGTTGTATGTTTTTGTGGATCTTGCATAAATAAATTGCATAAAGATGTATCTCACGAGGTCGTTAATCATAATACAAGAAAAATTCAAATGAATAATCATAAACTTAATCTCTTTGCTGTATTATGTATTGAAATAGCTCATTATGTTGCTTTTGTTAAATGTAAAAAACAAAATCAACAGTGTGAATGGCTCTTTTTTGATAGTATGAGTGATCGAATTCATAATGAAAAGAATATACCTCTTGTTGATCGTGTGCCTGATTTTGATCGATGGATTGATGGTGCTGAACAAAATACGGATTTCTTCGAAGATTTAGATAGACTTCGAAAGCAAGCAAGACCATCTTCACAAAAATTCGACGAAAATGCTATGCGACAATTACGTTTATTTCGTGATGGTGCTTTTTTCTTCTATGAAAATTCAAGTGTTAATTATCAATAAAACAAATGGATTAACTTGCTTTCTAATCGAGATATGTTTCTTTTTTTTTTTATTTTTCTGTTTTTTAAGTACCATATTATGTTTATATTAACTGTGATATAATAATTAATTGAAAAGGAAAAAGAATGCTATTCTTTATCCATTCATAGTTCGCTTTTCAACTATTTTTTTTAGATAAATAATAAATAAAGTAAAACGATGTCAAAACAAATTATTGTTTATGGAGGTTTGTAGTTAAAGATTATGTCAGGAAAATAAATATTAGCAATTCTTTTAAACCCGGGCGAATGATTTCGATGCCCGGATCCGTAAATTTTGGACAAGTTTCCCATCTAAAAGACGTCATTTCCGATTGAAAAACTTTGAAAATAATAGGCACTTAAAAACAAGAATTCGGTGATCAGAGTCGATAACTAGATTCTAGAGTCTGTTGAGTTTTCTTGGATCTTCATCCGAAAATTTTGTATCTGATGTGCTCTAGTTATCTGAGAAATGTGTAGAGTACGCTAGTCATCGAATACAACAAAACGAAAAAAAAAGTATCTCATATTTTTGGGTTGAGTATTCAATTTCGATTAGAAAATTTCATTGAGGATATCAAAGTATGTTTCGAGTGAATCCGAAAAGATTTGATCAGCTGAGTTCAAGTTCAGCAATTTCGAACACGACGAGCTCTACCGGATTTCTACTTCCAAGTTTCTATCATTTCCCGAAGCTTTCCAGCCAAAAACGGTCCGTATTTCTTGATCTGAACGAAGAAATAATCAAGAAAAAGTACTACCAGAAAAAAAGAATTCATGTAAAATTTATTATGAAATTCTTGAAATTTATAAATTCATAGAAGTTTATTTATGGTTTGAAAATATCATTTTGTTTTCTTTATCATAGGACGTGGAGCTTTAGGTGATTGTTTGGTTCGTTATTTCAAAAGTAGAAATTTTGTAAAGTCTATTAGTGATTTTATTTATTTATTTTATTATAAATGTTTTCTTTTATTAGAAAGTAACATCAATCGATTTAAAAGAAAATGAACAGGCTGATATTAATATTACACTTAATGATGCTGAAAATCTTGAAAAACAAGCTGAATTTATTACCGAACGTAAATAAACGAAATAAAAGAAATTTCATTTCATATTCTTTTTGATGATTTATATAGAAATTCAATCATCATCAAATGGTGAACCAGTTGAAGCTATTTTAAATGTTGCTGGTGGTTGGGCTGGAGGAAATGCTCATGATAAAAGTAAATTTAAAAAACAAATTTTAATCTAATAAAAATAATTTATTCTATTTCGAAGATTTTATTAAAAATTCCGATTTGGTTTTTAAACAAAGTGTTAATTCAACATTAATTACTGCATCATTAGCTAGTAAATTTCTTAAAGAAGATGGTTTATTAACTCTTGCTGGTGCTGCAGCTGCGCTTGATGTAACACCAGGTTAGATTATAAAAAAAAAAGAAAAGAAACGAAAATATAATATTTTTCAAATAAATTTTTATTCAATCAGGTATGATTGGTTATGGTGCAGCTAAAGCAGCTACAATACATATTGGCAAAAGTTTGGCAGCATCGAATAGTGGCATGCCAAAAAATTCGTCAGTTCTTACTATTGCACCGTATGTTTATTTAATTTTTTTTTCAATGATGAATCATACATAAATAAGAGATAGATGGATAAAAAACAAAAAGCTAATGTCACACTCGATCAATTTAATGCAATTTGTTATTGTCAATATATAAAAACCAACCATTTTTTCGTTATTTAGGATAACATTAGACACTCCAATGAATCGTAAATGGATGCCAAAAGCAGATACAAGTACATGGACACCACTTGAATATATTGCTGAGTATGTATAGAAATTAAAAAATTCGAAAAAACAAATTTTTTTTCTATTTTCAGATTATTTTATAAATGGGTTGATGATCCATCATCACGTCCAGTGAATGGATCGGTTGTTAAATTGACAACAAAAGATGGCAATACTGAACTCAGCTATCATTAATAGATATCTACAACTGAATGCAATGGCAGTCTAGCCTAAAAATGAACAAATATTCCATTTTAATTTTTGGTGATAGTTTTTTTTTTTTAATTTTGAGATATTGAAACTATTCATTTTATGATCAATTAATTTACATTATTGAACCTACTGGTGTTTGTGTCTGAATAAGTCTATTAGTGGTTCCTCTTTTTTTTAGATTTAAAAAACTGAAGAAGAATAAACAATGAATGACCTATCAAATCTAACCGAAATTGGTATTCGTTATTTATCTAATTATTTATTATCTATCGTTTCTAAGCAAAAGATTTATGTACCAGAGTTATCATGTCTATCACCACGTTTAGGTAATTTATTACTTAAAACGATAGTTAATACCAAACGAATAGATTCATCGAACTCGACCGATTATTTTCTTTCATTATTTAATAATAGTGGTCAAAAAAAGAGAAAAAAGTAAAAAAAAAATGAAAAAAAAAAAACTTTTTTTTAAATACAAATTTGTGTTTTTTTTTTGTTTTCGTTATTCAGATCAGAAGTAATTATACAATTAAGTGAACTTTATTTTCGTTCATGTTTATTTATAACAAATAAATCTATATCAAAATATTTATTATCACATGAATTAATTGAAATAATTGATTTACGTGATTGTAATATTACATATGAAATATTTCAATTATTAACAAATTATTTTCCTCGTTTAACAACATTATACATTGGACATACAGAAAGTAAAATTGATGAAAAAATAAATTCAATTGATTTTTTTCCAACAAATCATATTGATACAAAATGTTTTTTAATTAAACCAAAATTAAAATATCTTTCATTAGAAGGTATACATAATACAATGTCAAATGGTCCAATTGAAGAAATTTTTTATCATTCATTAACACAATCAAGTGAACAAATACGTTATGTTGATTTATCAAGAAATTCAGCTATTGAAAATTTAATATATATTGATTGTTTTAAACAAATAAATTCATTAATACTTTATGATATATTACCTAGTGTTATTGAATCATCAATTGATTCAATATGTTGTTTACAAACATTAGTTTTACTTGATTTATCATTTAATCGTCGTATACAAGAACCACAAAATTATTCAAGACCAACAATAATATTAGCAAAATTAATACGATCATTACCAAAATTACTTTCATTAGATATAAGTGGTACAAATTTAGCAGGAGCTTTTTCATTTGATCAAAGTGAAGAATTAAATTATATAAAAAAAGAACTTTCAATTGATGAACAAGAGTATATGAGAAAGAAGATTTATAATTGATTTTGAATTATGTTGAAAATTGTTTTGTTTTTTTGTCTTTTTTTAGAAATTTTACAATACAATCAAGTATAGCCGGTTTACTTTTATTAAAACATGAATTAGAATTTCTAGGACTTTTTGATGTTGATGAAAGAGGATCAGCTAGACGATGGTTACCAGCAAAAAAAGTAAGATTAATTCATTTAAATACTGTCACATGTTAACGTGAGAGTAGAAATGAACAGGAACAACTTTTAATTACTAGAAGTCGTAACCGGAGAAGGAAGGGTACAGAAGAAAACTCACCATGAACCAGACTCTCCCACAAAAGACGATCTACCACCAGGTCGTCCCTTCTCTATGGTCTCCCCTATCCTATTTCACCTCGTAACAATATGATCTGCTAATTTTTATTTCACTTTATACCAGAGAAGTTCACCAATAGGACTTTCGCTAATTTGTGTATAACTTTATTATTTTAATTAGAGAGATTTGTATCAACTACAAACATGAGTACAAACATCAAGGTATATTTTCATAACACTTGGTATAGTTTTTACAATTACGTTACATTTATATTGTTTCGAGATAATTGATGAAAGTCCGCAAGACTGTCGTCAAACTGTTAGAGGCAGTCTTATTGACGGAAAATAGAATTACTCTAATATGTTGTGTTGTGTATGAAATGAATAGACCAGATTTAGTATTTCTAATGATAGATGTACTAAGCAAAAGTTAAATGTACATAACATTTGCTATCATTTATCTACATTCTATTACGCAGAAAGCAGAATATATGCAATACGCGTTTCAGTGAATTAGATGAATGTTTCGAAGGAATAATAATCAATGTAAATTATTCTATTATTTTGGAAAATATTATTATTATTATTTTTATTCTTCAATCCTTCAATTTCTCGTTGATTAGATCATGAAAAAAAGGAACAAATATATGTAGTTGATTTATCTAATATTGATGCTTCATATAGGTAGTATCCTACTGAAAAGTGAGATAATTAATTCTGACAGATATTTTTTAGCTTAACATTTACTTTTAGAAAACTTTATATCTTTAATTTAGATAACTGGTGAACACAGTGAAGAAATGATAGTAACATCTCTTTCTTATTATATGGAACGACCGAGTATGTTAACACATATTATGGCACATTTATTTCGTTTATACAATCATTATACTATTCAAAATCCATTTGATGCTGGAAAGGTTAGATTTATTTATTGAAATTCAAAACAAAAATAAAAAGAAGATTTTGATTAAATTTCTTATATTTAGTTAGTAATGGATGGTATGGAAAAACATTTACATGATCGTAGTCTTCAAACATCGGGTAGTGCATGTTTATATTATGTTGTTGATTTATTTCAAACTGAATCAGATATTATGTTGGAAAAATATAATGATTATTTAAAACGATTACTTATTACTATACTTAATGCAATGAATGCTCATCTTCAACATTCACCTGTACATAAAACAAAACTTTTTTTTTTAATATATATAAACAACTTTTATAGTATTTTTTTGTTTTATTATATTTAGATGATTCGTAATGGTCTATTAACTATATCTCGAATGCAAATGCATGTACCAAATCATATTGTAAGTAGTGATAATGAGATATTTCAATAGTTAAGAATCAAGTGATGATTAAAAAAAAATCTATATTTGCAATGAAATTGATATTGACAAATTATGGAATTGTATTAGTCAAAAATAGAAGATCAAGGTTGTTTTGGCTTTTTTCTACGATACTAAATATTTAACTTAGATTCAAATAATGATTTGAATAGCCAATGAAGTTTTCTCTATCAACGGAAATTTCATAGATGGATTATGAGAGAAAAGTTTCTGAAGAATGAAGCATGGTAATTTTCAGGTACTAGAAGATTGTTAAGAGTAACGTCTTAAAGAACACAAAATTGTGAATAAATTGAGAGGTTGTTGTATTTCCTATGATCTTTCTTTAAAAAGTTATACACATTACAAAAAACAATGCTATGATAAGTTTCGCTGATAACTTTTTAAAGAAAGATCGTAGGAAATACAACAATCCCGTTTTTTATTCATAATTTTGTGTTCTTTAACACATTATTCTTAATAATCTTCTGGAACTTGAAAATTACCGTGTTTGGTTTTTTAGAAATCTTCCTCTTATAGTCTATCTACGAAATTTCGGTTGATAGAGAAGTTTATTGACTATTCAAACCACTATTTAGATTTAAGTCAAATGCTTAGTATCGTATAAAAAAAAAATCAAAAATACGTTAATCTGATATTTTTGATTGGTACTGTATTTTTATCTACATACAATTTTGAATTAAAATAGACATGAGAATATTTTATATCGAGATTTTCTTTTTTTTTTTGTCATATCAATTTCGTACAACTATTTAATTTTATTATATTAAGAAAATAAACATAATAGATTTGTTTTTTGAATTGTTTAGATGAATGCTTTTGAACAGACAGTTACTGTACTTATAAAATTTATTTCACTTTATTTAAATGATAGTGTTGTACATGAACAAATTTTACTTCACAATGCATTGTCAGTACTTAATCATGTAGCATGTAGTGTTGATGGCCAAGAGAAATTATTTATTGGATATGCTGGTGCTATTGAAGTAAAAAAAAAAAAGAAAGAAACAAATTTTTATCTTTTTATTTTTTATTGTTTATTTTAAAAAAATTTTTATATTAGGTTGCTGTAGGAATAATTCGTCGGTTTTTAATAAAAAAAACTAGCTGTGAAATAGTTGAAGTTGCTTGGACTTTACTATGGAACATAACAGATGAAACACCTGAGAATTGTCGACGATTTATTGAAGATAATAATGGTTTACAAACATTTCATGAATGTTTAGATTTATGGTCGGATAAACGTGATCTTGTACGAAATATGTTAGGTTTATTAGGAAATGTTGCTGAAGTAAAAGAATTAAGACATTATCTTGTTACTCCTTTACATATGGAAAAATTTAGGTTAGAAAAAAAAATTTTCTTAGTTTTTTTTGTTTTTTTAAATTTTGAATTTAAATAGAATTTTATTAAAACGATCACAACAAAATGATATTGAAATTCCATATAATTGTGGTGGAATTCTTGCAAATATACTTTCCGATGGACTTGAAGCATGGACAATTACTTCAAGTATTGAACAATCTATTGTTAATCAAGAAATTTATGATTCTGTACAAACATGGGATTTACATAGACAACGAACGATTAATTATCGATCATTGGCACCTATTTTAAGATTATTGAATGAAAATTATCCAAGCGGTTGTATTATGTGGGCGGTTTGGGCAATGACAAATTTAACTACGGTTCTCCGTATGTTTTGAATATAAATTTTTAGTAGCAAAAAATAGATGATATTTTTAAAAAAAAGACATTTAATTTTTTTTTTTTATTTTCGTAATGAACAGAACAAAACAAAATTTAAAATTTAATTTCGGTTTTTTTTAAAATGTACATCATCAGTACTTCCAGATTTGAAACTCTAAAACCCTATTCTTCTTATTGTTAATAAATACAATTATTGAAACTATTGTTTGTTTTCTTATTTCTAGCGGAGAAATATTGTACATTAGTACGGAATGAAAATGGTGAACCATTACTATCTCAAATTCTATACAGTGATAAAATGAGTGAACCAATAAGAAATTTAACTCAAGCAGCCCTTACGAACGTTCAACGGTAATAATAATCTTCTTAAAGTTTTATAATTTTCATTTTTTTTTTCAATAGTTTTTATGATCCACCAGTTCCCATGGATATTGCCCCAAATGATGGACTTGAAATTTGATAATTTATATGTAGTTGTTGTTGTTGTTGTTTTTTTCATACATTTGATGCAACGCACTTTTTTGTTTTTACACGTCAACTTTACCTCTCCTTATTTGTATGTGAACGAACAGTTTCTCGTTTTCTTTTTGTTTTTTTTTGTAACTTATCCTTGTCCGTGTCTGTATGTTTCTTGTGATATTTTCCTCTTAATCGTGACCAACAATATGTACAGAAAACAAGAAATATCAATGGTTTTATAAATGTATATGTATAGAGATATAAGTGGGCTATTTTTTTTTCTAAAAAGTTGTAAAAATAAACAACTTTTTTGTTTGCAGTAAAAAGAAAAAGTTAAAAAGACAAAAAAAAACATATTATTGTTGTTTATTTCATTAACTTATCGTTGACGTTTTGGTAAAATTAATCCAATAAGAACACCAAATGTACGTTCGAATACAAGATGTGCTACAAATCCAAGTAATAATGCAAATACTAAATGACCAAAAAATAAATAAAGTAATGTTATATCAGTTGCATGAAATAAATTTTGTTGAGCAAACATATAATAAACCATAATCATTGGATGTATTAAATAAGTTGTATATGATGTATAAGCAAAAAATGTAAAACCACGCCATGATAATATACTATCAATAAGTGGTGCAAGACCTTTATAACATGAAAATATAATCCATGCTATAGCCAATGGCCAAGCAATACGTGATAAAACAAAGTAAAGTACATATACATTAGGAGGCATTGGTACAGCACCTTCTTCATGATTTCTCCAATTACCAAATATACTTGTTGCCATAAAAGCAATTGTTAATGACCAATAAAATAAATGAAGTAGTGGATGTAAATGAATTTTCTTTTTATCAGTTTTAAAAAATATATAACCAAGTACAATACCAATAACATACGGACCAGCACGACAATATGGTTTGATATAAGTATCTACAAAAAAAAAGATAAAAACAAATAAATTAATATTTTTTTTTGTTTAAATAGAATTTTTTTTCTTGTACCTTCCCATATAGCTTGAAGTGTAGGAAGAATGTGTCCAACGCGATAAGTATTTGCAATATTAAATCCTAATATACAGGAACTTGCTGCTAAAATTCCAATTAACATAAATGAACCAATTACTGGAAAATAATATAATGGTACAATAAGAAATGGTGCTATAAGAAATAATTGAAAATCATTTGAGACATACCAATAATATCCCAAACATCGTGTACCTTTTCCTCCTGGTACAAAATTATTAACTAAAAGAAAATAAGCCCACCAATAATCATGACAATCAGCATTTTTCATTGGAAAATTTTCTGTTGTCCATAATGGTCCTCGACCAATATAAGGTACAACATATATATATAATAAAAATATCATTATATATGGTGGTATAAGACGTAAATAACGTTCAAGATACATCAGTGGCCAAAAATACCATTTAGGCATACCATTTTTTTTTAACATACGCATTAATGATAATGTAACTAACATAGCACTTATAAGAAAAAATGTATCAACACCATATAATGCATTAATTATAATTTGTGCATCTACACGTGTTTTTTGTAGATCTAATAAATCAAGTGCATTTTGAGTAAGTAAAAAATAACTTTGATCACCAATATAATTATATGTATGACCCCATATGATCCATAACATTGAAAGAACACGAATACCATTTAAACATTTCATTGCACCTAAAATAAATGATTAAATTTATTTTCTCTATGACAAATGTACTTATTATACTTCATCGAAAATCTATCTTAGATCTGAATTTCGACATGTTCTAGTCAGGATTGTTGATATTTTTTAGGGATTGAAGGAGCTAAAAACTTAGCAGAAAGTATTTTCATCCTTAAAGTGCTAGAAGTAGTGATCGACTGGGGAAGAACGAAACCCATTGTGACATGGCTCCTCTCATAACAAACTGCCTGCCGCCAGACCATCCCTCCCACAATCCTATTTACCTCATAAAAACATTATCTGTTTATTTTTATTTCATTTTCTGCCAGAGAAAAGCAAATCGTACTTCAGAATCCGCTTTTTGTCCAAAGCTACCAAGAAGCTGTAAAAAATTGATAGAAAGTCAGATATTTTTGAGGGAACTCCGCAATCGAGAACCATAGTTCTAGCTTATATTTTAATTTTTAGAAATTCTAATAGAATTTTATTTACCTGTATTTGACATTGGTTTAAGGATAGCTGTATACGCTGAAAGTTCAATAGCAATTCGATGAAATTTATAAATAATACTATTATACCAATTTTTTCGACTTTGTAATACATTAGTTCTGTCAACTTCTGATGAATAACTAATTCCATGTAATTGAAGACGATTAGAAAATTGATAGTGATAAGAATTTAAAGCTTTATAAAAAATTCCATGTGGTCGTTCATCTGATGGTGTCAAATTACATAATGTACGAATATTTTGTAATGATAATGTACTTATTGTTGCATATGGTTTATTTAATATTGTACGAAAAAAACAATCATATAATGTTGCTAATATAACAATGACTGTTAAAATTGTTATAAGTACTAATGTAACATAATAAGCTGCATTTAGTTTAGCTGAACTTTCACATAATACATCGTCAACATGTCGAATATTGGTTAATTGATGAATTGTTAATAATCGAACAGTATTATTAACAACTGATGCTATATCTTCATTTCCACAAAAATCTGGTACACATAAACCAAGATCAATAGCAGCTAATTCTTCTGGATTACCAGGAAAACCTTCAAGTGAACCACCAGCTAAAGCAAGTAATGATGGTTGAGCACGAACTTTAGCTCGACAATAACGTCCTTGAAATTGAAATGAAGATGATTCATTGGAATATTTGACTTTATGACAACTATTCCAATTACCAAGCCAATTTGTATTAGCAGCTAAAAGATTTGCTGGAGGTTTTCCACTTGCATCAAATAAACGAAGTGCCCAAAGATTTCTTATTGGATCTGTAATTGAATCAAACCATAAACTTAATGCTCTTTTACAATTTTTATCTTTAACATCTTGAAGATAAATATCATTAATATATGTTTTGGCATTTTTTGGTGCATCATAAAAAAGAAATCCAAGAAGTTTAATAGCAGTGGGACGATTGGCAAAACGTATTATATAAGGTTTTAAATCTTTCCAAAAAACACCCGTGGAACCATTTACTGCTAGATTCTGAATTAGTCGATAAAGATCGCTAGTTATATTACTAAAATCATCTGAAAAAAGAAGATTCTCTCAATCTTATTGATTAGTTTTTGTTTTCTATAGCTCACTAGGTACCAACGTTGGATTGCCTAGACCAAATAAGATCAATTGTTGAATTCCTAATACAAGCATCCAATCAAGTGTTTCATTGTCATGTATAGTATTAAGAAGTGTTTGTATATCTGTTCTATTTGTCCTTTCACCAAGAAGAATCAATTCAAGAGCCTCTGTTAAATAACAATATCGACCACCATCTGGTCGACAAGTACTAACCATAGCCCTTGCTTGTTTTCTATCTGGAGAAACTGGTGATTGATTTTCTGCCTTGATATTCATTATGTTTTGTCCATTATTACATCCAATAAAGAAAATAAGAATGATAAATGTAAAAAACAGAAATTTCATCGAAGAAATAGATATCGACATCTTACTACACATACGTATGTAATAAGTTTGAATATTCGTTAGTTGTTTCTTTTTTTTTGTGTTGCTATTTTAATGATAAAGATAAAATATGTTTTATCTCGTATATTTAAGAAAGAGAGAAGCGCGTGATTTTTATTTATTTAAATGAATCTAAACATCAAGCTACGACAAGATGTGACCATATCAAATTCATATAAAGAGAAGGTTTTTTTTTTCTTTTTTTGTTGTTGTTAATGTGCTTGGTGGATAACATTGGTGAAGTATAGATAGTAAGGAGAGAGAAGAAGCTTCTTTTTTTTTTTTTTACAGATAATAGTTTATTTTAAGTAAATCTTGATAATAGTAAATAAAACTAAGTAGGTTAATTTTGATTTATGAATTATTTAATGGATGTATAAATGATAATTTATTTGATAATTAAAAGATATTTTTCGAAGAATTTACGATAACATTGGATAGATTGTTTTCAATGAGTTTGTTCAAGAAAAACAATATACTATTCTCATTTCTTTGGATAGATTACTTCCGTTTTCTTTTGCTTGATAAAATACAACAATACTTATGAATGAAGCCCATCAAGCCGAAAATTTTTGGGCTCGATTAACAGAGAAATTGCTAATCCAGATCCGACTACGTTCGAGTTCGGAACCAATCCGACGCGTTCTACTATTAAATTATTAAGCATGATAGTAATACTATAGAATAATTTTCTTCTTGATGAATCTTGACTATCATCAGTATCAAAATAGAAATTAACAATTGATAAGATTTGCAAAACTAAGATAATTTACTTTATGAAGATGTTACATAATTTGTAAAAGAAAATAAATTCAGAGGTATAAGAACAACTTTCGTGAAAAATATAATATTTTACCATTCAAATATATGTAAAGGAAAATATTAACACGAAGTAAAATAGCAGTACTATTATATTAATGATTATATTTGTAATTTATATCAAGAAAATGTTAGACATTAAAAAAAAAACATAAGTGTTTAGTTGATTATTAGAATGATTAGAAGCTTTTAGCAGATATATGCAGACGATCCACATTCTAATGGAAAGTATGACTTATTTATTGGCGAGTATGGTTTTATCATAATAGTTGTTAAACGCTATTGATAGGAGTTTTTAGAAAAAAGAATGTCAATAAAACGATGAAAGTTAAGTGAAAGGATTTATTTTTTGACAGACTCGATGTTTATGTGATGCCAATCATTTTATTGTCTCACATAGTGGATAATTTTTATCGAACGCGTAGACATGACTTATTTTCTGTCAAAAATGAATTTTTTTCATAGAAATTTTAGCTTCCTATACTCAAAAATAAGACTGATGAGAAAAAAGTAAAATTTAGAAAAAAAAAACAGACCATTTCCGATGGAAAATCGTTGAAGGGAACCCTTACTCTAAACTTCTATGAAAAAATTCTTAATTTTAAAAATTGTCAAATGGTACATCATTCAATGCAGTTTTTCACGTTGATTCCAAATATGTCTTTATTTTTCTCTCAAAGTGCTTCTGTAATAAAAAAAATGCGAAAAATCTTTAAAAATTAAGGTTTTAGAAAAGCTATGTCTCAGTTCTGAAGCATTTGCGCTAACTGAGTGTATGTTCAAGATATAGAAGAACATGCTTTAAAAATTTCGTCGATATAGGTTTAGTAGAAAAAAGTAGCGACTAACTTTACACTGGAGATGTTTTTTCGGAAAACGCTCAGCATAAAAAGAATAATTATTTTTTCAGAATTCAAAATCAAAGAACCAAAAATTTTCTTATAAATTAATAGAACAGAAGTCCTAGTTTCAGATTATATAAAATTTATTGTTTAATTCTTTTTAGTTTTCATTAAAAAAAGCATGTTTTTCTTTAAAGATGTTGTATTTATGGTTAAGTTTTTCCACTGAATTCAGCAGTTGGGACAATTTCTTTCTAAACAAAAGCCTGATTGTTAACCAAAATGTATAAGTTATTATTCGAGTCTCGAAAAAGCTCACTTCTATTTTTTCACTTAATGTCCACATTGTTGCCCATTGTGTCTCATTTTGATATTCTTTTGCTAAATATACAAAATAAATCGTAAGCAATATTGATTAAAAATTATCATGGTAGCTAATTCACCTAACTCAAGGTTTAGTGAATTTTATTGTAACGGGCATAATATTTCAATTTGCCTGAAATTTAAATTTGTACAAGTTTAATTGCAAATTCGATTCAGATTGAAATAAGCATTCAATAAGTAAATATTAATGTTTGGTTATATTTTGCTCAATTAAATATTCTATTGTAATATTTTCAATTTTATACTATTGTTCATGCGCGAATGTTGAAAAATGAAACATTATATATTAAGAAATCTTATATGACCACAAATATGAAAGCACACTTCGTTCAGTAAAGAAGGTACGAGTGACCACGTCGTTTGTCAAAACGGGACTTTCTTGCAGCGATCGCCTCTGCGTCATCCGCATCTCGTTTTTTAGACGCAGTGCACTTCTTTGGCTTTTAGACAAATTTTAGCTGAAATTAACATGAATTCTTTCAAATACAAATATATGCTCGAAGAATATGTATGTGATTTCGTCATTATTGCATAGAAACAATGATATAGAGAATACATCACAAAGGAAGTAGATCGTCGAACATATTTAATATTTTTCTAATTCAATAATATATGTTTCAGTGCCAATAGCATCACGTAGAAAATTTTAAACTTTTCGAAATCAAATGGAGTTTATCATTCGATTTCATTATCATTCCGGTAAAGAATACTAGAACAAGTATTGAAAATATGATTTTTTCAATATGATTGAATATTTTTCAATTTATTTCAAAATATTAATTTGGATACATTTCTAATTAAAATGTTCTCGAACATATTTATTAGTAGCAAACATTTTCGGAATTGTTTCTTGTTTCAGATTCGCATCGCAATTGAATGAGTTTGTTTTTGTTTGTCGCAACTCTTTATATGACAGTTTCTAAATAATACAGCGTCATAAATAATGATTCACTTATAATTTTGTTCTTTTAGTTCAAAAACAAAAATATATAACTAACGCATACAAAAGTATTAGGCATACTCTTGTAACCGGATAATATTACAATTGAAAATATAAGACGATAATCAAAAGCGAGAAATTAAAAAAACAACGTGTAAAAAAGCGTACCTTTTAAACTTTTATAAAAAATCCTTTCGGTGAGAAACAAACGAGCTGATGAAAATTGATGATTTCAAACCTCTTTTTCGTTGGAAAAAACAAATTTTTAACGCGTAAGAATGAATAAAAGATAAGCAATCAAAACGAGTAAGCACTCTATTTGCAATCTTTCATTGACGAACAACAAAGAAAAGAAAATGTGTTTTTCATCATGGTGCCTTTCCGACTTCTCATGTTCGAAATTGTATAATTTCGTTACCTTTATGATGCAAAATAAACGGCATATATTAGTATTGAGTGTATTTGCTCAAGTTATCAATATATTCTACTTAGAATTCTGTGTCATCAATACATACCTAGCTGGCATAATATTCGTCTTGGATGATTACTGCCAAATACTGATATAAAAGAGAATGCTACAGAATGGCTAAATTCATCGAAAACAACAACACTCTTGACTAGAGCAAATCGAGTTGGTTCCAAATCTGAGTCCGATCAGATCGGGATCAGAAACTTTTCTGTTAATCGAATCCGGATTCGAAAATTTTGGTCTCGACGGACTCTAGTCGTCTTAGTAATGTATAGGGTGCGCTAGTTACTGAATACAAAAAAAACTGGAACAAAAAGTGTCTCGTACCTTTACGTTGACTATCCAATTCCGATTAGAAAATTTCGTTCAGAGTAATAAGGTACGATTCAATCACTAGTAACAGGTTTTAAAAAGTTGTAACACTATTTTTGGTGTATTCGCAAAAGTTTTTCTTCTAGCTAAACTGCTATAATATTTATTAATTAAAACGATCCATTTTACTAGAAGTGAATGTCTAGAAAACTGATGTCATGCAAATGGCTATCATCGGAGATGTTGGTTTTTTAGTATTCTCAAATTCTGAATAAATGAAAGCAGAAAAAATGTTGAAATGATACCTAACGGATATAAATACATATTTTAACTAGATGAAATCCTACAGTATTCTAATATGAAACTCAAAGAATGACTTATGCATTAGAGGACTTTATACTTCATTTAGCAAAGTAAGTATCACATCGAACATAAAAATATTAAAAACACAATCAATTGATTAGAGAGATAAATTTCTTCAGAGCAGGTAGTCAACAGGTGTCATTCAACTGCAATAAAATTCAAGACTACTTGCCAATCTTTTAATAAAAAGACAAGAATAAAAAACATCGACATTATCTCAAAAAGTAGTTGCAAAATATTCATGACAAAAAAGAACATTGAAAATTTTTCTTCTATTACTTTAATCTATTTATCTCATGAGAGTATAATCAAAGTGAAGATAATTGAGTTCAAAAATACCAACAATCAAATAGATTCCAATAGTGGTTACCATTAACAGGATCACTAAAAAGTCTCTGATCAATAATTTTTTGCCACAAATATTGTACGGATAATTTCAGAAAATTTTTTAACAACAATTCGAAAAAGAATTTTTTATGAATGTAAATCTGTCTCAAAGATCAAAATATAAAACCCATTGAAAATGAATATTAAATTTCTCAAAAAAGAAAAACCCTTTCTATTTTAACACTTGTTATCAACTCATCAACAACAAAATGCTTACGAATCGTATCTTTGGTGTAAGCGATAGAATTTGTGTGTCGAAAGAAATTTAAATAGATATATATGTAGTACATCTATCAGACGTGTATAATACAACAAGAAATCTAAATCCAAGGTACAAATTGTCGACTTACAGATTGAGTGTTTTAAATACATTCTT